TTTGGGGGGGCAAGAGGATTTACATAAAAGTATGTTTTTTAGTAGTGATCATATGTTTTAAATTAATGGATTCCAAAAGTTGAGGTTTGGAGGTCTAACATATCAAGAGGGGGTGTAAAACTGACCACCTCCTGTGACATTATGAGAAAAGCAAGGCAAGATTAAAATCCCTCAACATCGCCCCGTCACCCCACTTGTCTCTGGTACACAGGACAGATACAGGAACCAAACTATTCTTGAGGGCCAGACAATTTTTGTCTGTTTTATGGGTCTCAGTCTTTGGGTATATGGCCTGAAGGGATCCTTATTTGTTTCTCTGTAGTACTGCAAGGCATGGCCACGAGTATTACCAAGACTAGTTATCAAAGAGTCACAACAGTCACAGCAGTCAGCCACAAGTTTGATCTAAGTCTTTCTCTAGAACTGATTTTCTAGTACATCTGTGCAGCATCCTGCTAATTTCTGATGGCCTGGGCTTCTGCTTCTGTAGAGGTGCTGAGAAATAGATTTGAATTGGCTTGCCCAAGAATTTTTACCACTTATTCTGCTTGAATTCCCTGTTTCATTTGCAGCTCACTTTCTGTCATTCTAGCCTCCAGGCCAGCCTAATGTCCACTCTGTCTGCACAACAGCAAAAAGAACATTAACTTCTAAAGAATGCTCACTTTGGAGTATAATATAGTCCCAATAGGATAATATTACACTTATTTCTGTAAATATAGCAGCCCAGGTAAGTCCTGTTATCATCTTAATTTTCAACAAAGCAAGACCTGCATCATCTTAGAGCAAGAAAGAAAAAAAGAAAGATGGAAAGAAAGAACCTTCCTCCTTAGGGGTATGCACAGCTACTTGTAGGCTGTAAGACTTCAGATTGTAGGCAAAACTGTAATAATTTTTTTAATTTCACTTTATTTCTGAGATAAGATCTCATTATGTAAATCAGGCTGGCCTTGAACTCACTATGTAGTCCATGCTGGCCTCAAACTAATGACAGTCCTCCTGCCTCAACCTCCTGAGTGATGTCATTTCAGGTGGCAACTGTGTTAATATTGGATAATCAAGATCATTGATCATAATAGCAGGAAATACGAATGACTTTGCACATTGAAGACACGATACATGTTTCAGACATGTATTATTTCACACTTGACAAGAATCATAAAGATAAATGCAGGTTTTGGATAGATTCAACACTTATTTTAGCATTCCAATATCAACCAGTACATAGATATTTAATCAACTGTAGGATTACATGAGGTTCTTAAAGCAAGTAGTGAGGCAGGAGGACGAGCAGGGAGATGTGCGTTGATGGCGCAATGACCCAACTACTCTGGACTTTGAAAACAGACTTCATGTCAAATGGATGCACGCACGGATGAAGCAAACCCCTGCTGTTATTTCCATGCAGAACAATAAAAGAATAAGGGGACGATAGCAGCTGTCCGCCCTCTCATAATACAATTTGGTTCCTTCCTTTGCTTGCACAGCATGCCCTTGCTCCACCAGGCACTCTAAATATCCTGCCAAGACATATACCTTCTCTTTTCAAACAAGGCAGGTTTCGCTCTTCCCCTGTCTGGTGTTTCCAACTTTCTTTTCGATCATGGCACCCCCTTTCACCCTTTCTATTCAGATGTCTACCATCTTAACTGCTCCTTGTGCTATCTTCTACACCCCCCTGTAATATGCTATTTCCTTTCACAAAGAAACTCCTTCCTCAAGTGTTCTGGGTTTCTACATTTGAGCAGTCTGTAGGCAACACTTGCCTTGTTTGAATTTTGGGAGGCATCATTTGACATTGTTGCCTACACTCTTCAAACATTCATTTCTAAGGGGCCTCTTTTCCTTATTGTTCTGTCCACATCTTTTTAGCAGTCAAAGAAGCTGAGAGCCCTAACTATTCCCAGCAATTGATTCATTAAAGTGAAACACAGAACTCTACTTTGGAAAGCCTTTAGTTTTCTGGATCAATGAGATGTATAAAGAGGCTGTTGGGAGACTTGAGGAAGAAAGGCTTTGTGCATATGAAAGAGTTATGGGAAACTTGTCTCTCCTGCTGGATTTTTTTTTTTTTTTTTTTTTTGTATTTTAGGGAAGGATCTACAGGGTATTCAGGGTCGCACTACTACATGGGACTCATAGTAATCTGCCTGTTTACTGGCTCTCAAGATCTGGGATTACAGGCACACACCACTACTCCCAGTGTCAATTGCCATCTCAGTGCCAGCAGGCCTGGTCCCTGAGCCTACTTGCAGGCGCTTTAATCCGCTGAGCTATTTGGCCAGTCCTCTCTTGCTGGATTTGAAGGAGGAAATTTCTATCACCTGTCATCATTGGAAATAATCTTAAATAGGAGAGGAACCAGTTCTAGGGCAAAGTCAAGGAGATAATGATAGCAGGATAAAAAAGGAAAAAACCTTAAGTCATTAATGATACCATATCGAATGGAGGACTGTCGACCACTTCCTGGGTTAGCTGTTTACTTCCTCAGTGCCCAAGGGTGTTTCCTTGAATTTCCTGTAGTTTGCAAAACAAATCTCATCCTGATAGTGCCTTTGATTATTCCTTCTCTGTCTCCTTTCTCTACATCCCTCTCCTAAATGTGGGTGTCTACTGGGGCTCCTCTGACCTTCTTCGCTCCTGCTCATGACTGGATTACACATGCATCATGCTGAGTCCTAAATGTGCACACACCTAAGATTTCTCTACTGAGCTTCTGATCAAGATAATCCCATCTCCACTTTACACACCACCGGGCTGCCCTCAGGATACCTCAGATCCATGTATTAAAATGCAAACTTTCCTCTGTACCCATCATCACTTACACATATTACTCTTTCTGTGTTTCACATGTTAGTGAGTGGGAGCTTGGCCAAGTTAGAAACCTTGATGTCAAGGGTGAAAATTTTATCTATTTCCTTGACCTATGTCCAATGAATCACAAGATGCCTTTGTCCATACTTCTAAAGAAAATATTAAATATTAAATTCATGCTTTTCCCTCTACTATCTATCTATTCTCCCTTGGATTACTAGGAGGTTTCTTAATTGGTTTCATTGCTCCTAAGTGTCTCCTCTCCAGTACATTCACTGAAAAGCTATTACTGTGCTCTTTAAATGAAAACTTGATCATGTGTCTTTCCCCACGAACACTTCAGTGTTCTTTCAGTTTTACACAAGATGAAGCCTGGAAAGATCTGGACTCTGCTTATCTCCCTAGCTTTCTTTGAGTCCACTCTTCTCTTTTCAGCTTCCTGTTTTCTCCCTAAACAGGTGTCCTTTACACGAACCATGATAACCCATACCCCGTCTTCATAGCACTTGTCACATTGCGTTTTATTTACCTGTAACACTGGATATTACCCCAAAGGCCAATTAGTAGCATAAATAGCACCTGCAAAGCAACGCATTACCTATTATCTTGGATAAAATAATTAGATATTTCACAGCGTCACAAAGCTCTGACATAGTCATCAAGGGGGAAATTCACCTAGATGATAAAAATGTGTGGATTTATATAGTGAACATGCAAATTATGAAGTTCAAGCAACCAACAGGCTCTCTCGAGCTTAAAACTAGACCACAGAAGCCACAACTGAACTCAAGAATTAGAACAGTATCAACAATGCCACTTGCCTCTTCCCCCATCTTTCCCTGTGACTTCCTGTTAGAGGTAATCATAATTGTAAATATTATGTTTATTAAATCCTTTAAAAATAGTCTCTTACTCATGTACTTAAGGCTAACCAGTTTCAGTTTAGTTTGTTTCTGAGATTTGCAAATAGTATTTTTAGGTGTGCCATCTCATCAAACTTTTTTCCCATTTGAATTATGTGTTTAGTCAATATACATATTATGGGAATAATGATTTACTAATTTTTCTTGCTGTGGAGTATACTTTTGTATGAATAGCAGAATTTACATGCTTTCTGCTCACAGACATTTGAGTTTGCTCAATTTTCTCTAATGTAATCATTGGAAGTATCTTGAAGCCTGTGTCCAAGAGTTTTTCTAGTTTGATACATTCAGAGGCTTAGGGAGGGGAGGGTGTGTGTGTGCTCATTTTCAGAAGATAATTTGTTATCAAAGTGATTGTGTTTTATATTCCCCAAAATAGAAAAGTGTTTCCTTTCTTCTGACACTTGTAAATAACTTGTGTTTCTCACACCTTTTCACCTGCGCCAGTCATGTAAACATGAGATGGCATCTCTTTTTCATTTCTTTTTCATTTCTCTCCTGGATAAAAGGGCTGTTTTGTATTAATGTTTATGTACTTCTTTGTCTTTCTTTGCATTTTACTGCTTAAAAAATTGTGTTATACATTGCCTTTCATTGACTCGTAAGAGTTTTAAAAACTATGCTGCAGGATACAAATCTCGTGAGCCTACAAATAGACTGATAGCATCTTCTGCTAGGTCTTGGCTTTCTTTTGCTCCGGTCACAGTGGCACAGCAGGTGGCATTCTTAGTACCTGCATGTCCCTTCACCTTCCTTGCCAGGCATGAAGCAGCATCTTTGTTTTTCTTTCATCAGCCTCTAGCAAGTGTGCAGTGCACAATAGCTCACACATTACTAAATAAGCAGTTGAAGCATTGCCCTGGCTTTCAAAATGCTAAATCCATCTTTCTGTGGTCAGCATTTATTTTATGCAAATTGGTTATGGCCCACTGCAGAAGCTAAGAGAGACAGAAGTGTATGTCACGTACCTTTCCATACATGGACTTGGAAGAGTATCTTATAGTACTCTTAAGAGTGGTGCTGCAGTTTCTGCAGAGAGGTGGCAGGATGTTCACAAACATTCATTACCATACTGAACACTTGGCTGTGTTCATTTCCCATTCTTGTCAGTGTACTTACTGTGAAATGAAACTTAGAATCGAATAATATTTTGTCTGAAGTTGTCAACAAAGTTAGAAATGATGCCAAGACACAGATATGGAACACATATTACAATAGATGTACAAAGTTTATGGTTTGTGTCATCAATTTGGAATTGGTTACCTTTTTAGTAATGGTGTCCGGAGGTACATCCCGCCTCCCAAGTGGATAAGGATTCCATTGGCCACTAGGAGATACATCTTCTTGTCCATTGTCTAAAATGTTGCTTTGCTGGGACGGGGTCTATTGCAAAAATGGTATGGCATTCTTTAGTGATGTAATAGAAGTTTATTATAGTTTTTCTGAAAAGAGTCCCTAATAATTATGTTAAAATTAATTTTGTTTGTAGAAAAAATACATCCTAAATGAAAATATTACTAGACATTATTTACTGAATCTGAATTTAAATTATAGCAGTTTTGGAAGCAGTGAGAAATATAAATAAAATAAACATCTTAGAGTTATTTACTGATCTAAAAAACCCTTTAAATTGTTTATAGTAACTGCATAAAAATAATCAGAATAAAATCAATCGTTAAAAACTACAACATTTAAAACTTGCCTAATTTGTCTCTTTAGTATTATCTTACCATTTAGAATATAAATTGAAACCATGTAATCCATAATATGGAACTTGTAACATTCTAAACCATAATCCACAAGGTTGCAAATGATTTTGGGCAAATATGCCACTCAATAGTCCAAAATAGTATTAAAACTGGTATAGTGCAAGATTTATGGTGTTACTGACAGTTACCTTTGGAGAAAAGTTAGAGCAACCTCAAAAACATTATGCTATAAGAATCACAGTGAAAATCAATTATGAATTTTTCTACCAAACATATATCCATATGTATGTATATTCACACACATATATCTCTATATACATATATATTACATATAAAGTTTAAATTCTTCATGGATTTTTTTGGGCTGATTTCTGGCTTGTTATTTTTAATAAATAATAGTACTTTGTCTCTATTATTCCTAGTATGAGATAATTTAGGAAGACTTCTTGTTTTAAAGAGGGATGTAGAATTCTTTTTTTTTTCTTCCTGTGAATGCCAATCACAGACTGTCAGAAAGCTTCTGATGCTGAGATTTATACTGTAGGTTCTACTATATGGTATGCCCGGTGCACGTATGCATACAGCGCCCTCTATGTGCACACACGTGGATACGGAATTCTGCAAAGCCTTTCTCTCTTATCCTTCAGGATGCATGTGTGCTGCTGGTTTTCTGGGGTCTCCCCACAGGGCCACCTCTCTCTCCATGTGTTCAAAGGATGCACACTGCTAAGCCTTGCTGGGAGCGTGTGCACAGCTGCATTTGCAGGAGGAAATTAGCCCTAATGAGGGGAGAACCGGGCCAGTCACAGGTGTGCAGCGTGGCAAGGCTCTGTGGCTGATTGCGTGGTTCTAACTGGTGCTCTTTTAAAATGCATACCCACCCTGTATTTTTTGAGCACTTCTTGGGACTATTTATTTATTTATTTGTATTTTAAGGAAAGGTCTACAGGGTGTTTAGGGCCTTACTACCAGATCAGACTCGTAGTGATCCGCCTGTTTATAGGCTCCCAAGTGCTGGGATTGCAGGTACGCACCACCATGCCCTGTCTCAACTGCCATCACAGTGTGCCCTGGGGGTGAGGCTGGCACAGCAGGCTGGGGGTCGAACACCAGCCCCTGCGCCTGCTTCCAGGCGCTTTAATCCACTGAGCTATTTGGCCGACCCTCTTGGGAATATTTTAAAGTGGGTTTATTCTGAGACTCTACCAAATTTCCTAGGAATTAATATATGTAATAAATAATACTTTTACTTTGGCCTAGTAAATTTCTTTTTTTTTTTCATAATCCAATCGGAAGGTGAAAAAAAAAGAGACAGAAAAAAGTTATTGAATTTAAAGTCTTGGAGTACTTAGGAAATATTCATTTTTGTTTGTTTGAAAAATCAAATGCAGCTAATACATTTGAAGAAAATGTTACTTGAGGATAACGAGATAGCTATTCATTGTTTTTTTCCAGTTTATCTTTTTAAGATTCATGTGTTTTCACCACCCGTTTCCTTCACTTTTCTCTTCACCCCATCTCTAGTTCCTCTACTGTGGTGGATTCACCCACCTAGACGTGACGCTTTAGAGAGCAGCTGAGAATCACAAAGCACAATTTGCCATAAAAAGGTTAAATCTATTTGACTAAAATCCTAAGATTATCCATGCTTTTCACTAGTTCATAAATTAATCTCCCTCTTACAAAAATCACAATTAAGTTTCACACAGTTTCTTCTGTATTACAGGGGAGAAAGGGAACAGGAGCGTGCACACACATTAGGAAGATGCTTTTGTCAGACAGCGAAATTAAAGGAATTTCCTGAGAGCCAGTTACTTTATTAATTTCCGGGATGATCTGCCACTTTATTTTTTCTTAAATGAGGCACTGGAGGAGAGCTTTGGTCTGAAGACACAAAAACTCCCATAAAAACAATTTATTGATGTTGGAAGGTGGTGAAGGGAACGGAAAAGAGAAATATCTAATATGCTCTCACTCTTTCTCTAAAACGTATATATGCCTTGTGTAAAATGCAGTTGCTTAGCTACTGAAATTCTCAGAAAGCTAAAAGGAGCAACTGCAAAGTGAAAAAACACTGAAACTATTGAATGTATTCTTTTATTTATTGTATTTTAGGGAAGGGTCTACAGGGTGTTCAGGGTCTCACCACTAGACTGGACTCCTA